CAGAGAACCTGCCCTCTCTGCAACCTTCCCTGGTTCTTATCTCTTGTCCCCTGTATTTGTCTTATTAACATAGTTATGAACCACAACCCCAGATGCTAGGACTTCATGAACATAGAACTGAAAGACAGTCTTTTGCCCCAGACCTTATAGTTTTGGGTCCCTAGGAAGCTGTGTTACTGTTGAGCCACCACCTTGTACTTGCCTGGTAGAAGATACGGGAATCTTCTGGATTTATTGTTACTTCTAATAACAATAAACTTATACACAAATCTTTAGCCGGGGCTGTAGCACCACCTGGGGAGTGTATATTATGCATTTCCTTCTGCTTCCACCCCATGGATAGCACAGTTTCCAGTGCAACAAGAAGGACCTTCACAGGATCAGGGAAGACCTGGACATGGGCATGGGTGAACTGGGCATCCACCTGGGACCTGGACAGAAAGGGAGCCCAAAAATGGTAATATTTTTCTGCTGTCTGATTATTATAATCATTATCTCTGGTGAAGGGGGGCCTGATATGAAAAGTTTGCTCAGGGCCACCAGGAGTCTAGGTATGATACTGGGTCAGGGATATAGTGGACGGTTTCCATACTGGCTCTCAGTGCTGTTATCTAAATGAGATAGGATGTTGGCTGGGACTTGAGTGATTGGTTCAGTTCTCTGCTCTGCATTTGAATTCATAGAATCATAGCAAAGTAGTTATTGAGCTGCTCTGCCTTCTTTGCCACTTCTGTTAAGACTTTGTCCTTGCTGTTTAATAGTGGACCCACAGCTTCCTTGGTCCTTCTTTTCTTGCCAGCATATTTATAGAACCTCTTCTGTTGTCTGTAACTTGTCTTGCTGGGTGAAGTTTTTGTCCTTGCAAGTTCTCAATATTTCCTGGTATGCTTTCTTGTGACTAGTCCATCTTTTCATTGCCTGTATACTTTCCTTTTGCATTTGAGGTATCCTTGTGTAGCCACATTTATCTCTTGCCATTGCACTTGTGCTTCCATTGTGTCAGAACAGCTTTTTGTTGGGCTTGTAATACTGTTCCCTTTAGAAGCTTCTAGCTCTCCAGGGCACCTTTATCCTTCAGTCTGTCCTCCCATTACACCATGCCTACTGTCTCAAGCCAGTTGAAATCCACCTTTCTGACATCCAGTGTCTAAGTTTTTCTGACCTTGTGCTTTCCCAGTGTCAGGGTCATAAATTCTATTATATTGTGTTCGCTTCCTCTCAAGTTTCCCATCATCTTCACATCCTCCACCAGTTCTTTCCCTCTTGGCAATACAAGATAAATGATCCCCTAATTGTTTCTGAAACAGAAAGTTGTCCTGCACACAAGTTTGAAATCTGTTCAACATTTTATGTTTGTTTGTATGATTCTTTCAGCAGATATCCAGAAAATTGAAGTCTCCCAATAGTACCACCCCATAACTTTTGAATAATTTTGTCACTTCCTTGAAGAGTGCCTCATCCACCTCATCTTACTGCCTAGGTGGTCTATAATAAATACACACCATTAGCTTTCCCTTTTATATCTTTCACCTTTTATCAGAGAAGGGCCACAAGAATGATTGAGGGCCTGGAGGACAAACCTTATAGGGAAAGACTAAGTGATCTGGGACTGTTCAGCCTGGGGAAGAGAAGACTGAGGGAGGACTTGGTGGTTATCTATAGGTATGTAAGGGGAGAACATTGGGCGCTGGGAAAAAAACTGTTCACTAGGGTGCTCCAGGAGAAGACAAGGAGCAGTGGCCATAAACTGTTAGAGGTTGGTTTCAGGTTGGATGTAAGGAAGAACTTTTTTACAGTAAGGGTGACCAGAGTCTGTAATAAACTTCCCAAGGAGGTGATGCAGTCCCCAACCTTGGAAGTCTTAAAGAGGAGACTGGACAGAAACCTTGCTGGGATCATTTGATCTCAGCAATATTCCTGCCCTGAGAAGGGGGGTTGGACTCAATGATCATTTGAGGTTCCTTCCAGCCCTTAATTTCTATGATTCTGTGATTCACCCTAATACATTCTGATCTGCTACCTTCTTCCTCCTGAACTGGGGAACAAATAGGATAAATAACTGGTCGCCAGCACGGGGAATGAACCTACAGACTTGGCATAATCAGCCCCATGACTTCTTGTGTGGCCCTGGGTAAATCACTTTGACCTAGACCCTCAAAAATATTAGGTATTCAAATTCCCCTGAAATCAGTGCAAGCAAGATGCCGTCATATCTCTGAGGGCCTGAGCCTTAGTCTCCTGGGCTAGAGACAGACATTCAAAAAGCCTGAGCCTGAACTGATTCAATCTTTGCAGGTTAGTCTAACCTGGCTAGATTGAAGCGGTTTGTAACTGGACAGACATTCTCTCTGGACTGAGGAAATTCAGGCACATGCCTGCAGTGACTCAGACTAGAAGCCGGGAGGCGCTAGAGCAGCCCTCTCTTCCCTTGCACAGTGCTGAACTAAGGGGGTGGGGGTGTGGCCAGGCCCTGGTAGGACACTTTGATTAGGGAGGTTTTCCCTGCTGGCTGCTCAAGGGGTGAAAGTGTTACCTGACCCCAGACCCCTGCCAGCACTCTGAGGCAAGGGGAGATGTGCAGTGCATGCATCTGTTGATGATATGGAGCTTTTCAATCTCCCTCCCTGCTTCTTTATACTGTCTGCAGCAAATGGACAGATGAGCAAGCCAGCAGGGGACTCATAACAGTGTTTATCACCCCATCAGTAAAACAATAGTCTCTCTCCATTAGTTCAAACTTCTTAAACAGCTTACCAGCTGACCTGTTAATTAGCTTCAAAAAGGCCTATGTGGTCACTGTTCTGTCTGCTTGTCCCAGTGAAATTGGAGACACACACACACAGACACCTCTTGCCATTAGCTAGCATACCACATGCCTAGGGTCTGTGGGGCTGGGATCTGTGCTGTGGGAGATGGGAGGGAGGGGGGG